ACTAGAATACTTCCACCGAATCTTTAATAACAGAGTATTTGTATTGTGTTTGATAGACAGTTGTGTGTGGAGACCAGTTTAGACCAGCATATTACATGTCTGTTACATGTCTTATGAGATGAGTAAATTATTGTTTGTTTATGATTTTACGCCGTACTCGGCAACTTTTCAGCAGTCTGTATATACTCGAGTCTGGACCAAACTTTCCAGTGACTTATTAGCATCGATCTACCCATTTGGGCTAAGAGTGAGTGAGTGAGTGAGTTTGATTTTACGCCGCTTATATCAATATTCCAGCATATCACGCTGGGGGACACCAGAAATGGGTGCCACGAGGGGAATCGAACCCGGGCCTACGGCGTGAAAGCGAACTCTTTACCCACTACGCTACCCCACCGCCCCAATTGTGATAAGATGACATGCATCGAACCCCCTGACCCAACCAACCCAAACCCAAACACACACCACCACCCCCAACACCCAACCACCGAACACACACACAACACACACACACACACACACACGCACGCACGCACGCACGCACGCACGCGCGCGCGGATCCGCCACTGCTTCCCTTAACTCGAGATTCAACAGAAACAGTGCTTTCCCCACAGCAACATTACACAGCCCTGTAACACGATATCAAGACACTTAGTGAATAGCGATATCTGAAGGCGTCATGGGTGTGGGTTCGAAGCCCATTTGGCAGCTCTGGGCCCAATTAGATCTCCATATATTTCCTATCTCCAGGCAAACCGGCCCCCTCCTTGTGCTCTATCTGCTTGTATTCACATGCGTACTTACAGAAAGACAACCAGTTGTAGTGTTTCCCGACATGATAGGTTCTGCAGCCACACACGGGTTTAAACATTTACACTGCAGGTCATCGCAGGTCACCGCAGGTCAACGCGACCTTTACCATTTACATCTGTATTTCCTTTTCATACTGAGGACCGTTGGAAGATTGCCGTTCGGGTTTCATCGCTGGATGGATGTGTTTTAGCAATATCGCTGAAGGTCGCTGGGTGTGATGTAGAACACGTCTAGTCCTCACCACTACAGTCAGGCGTCATTACTACAGCCGAGCCAGGTCCTTACCTACTACAGTCAGGCGTCATTACAGTCAGGCGTCATTACTACAGCCCAGCCAGGTCCTCACCACTACAGTCAGGGCGTCATTACTACAGTCCAGCCAGGTCCTCACAGTCAGGCGTCATTACTACAGTCCAGGCGTCATTACTACAGCCCAGCTAGGTCCTCACCACTACAGTCAGGCGTCATTACTACAGCCCAGCCAGGTCCTCACCACTACAGTCAGGCGTCATTACTACAGTCCAGCCAGGTCCTCACCACTACAGTCAGGCGTCATTACTACAGTCCAGCCAGGTCTTCACGACTACAGTCTTCACCACTACAGTCAGGCGTCATTACTACAGCCCAGCCAGGTCTTCACCACTACAGTCAGGCGTCATTACTGCAGCCCAGCCAGGTCCTCACCACTACAGTCAGGCGTCATTACTACAGCCCAGCCAGGTCCTCACCACTACAGTCAGGCGTCATTACTACAGCCTAGCCAGGCCCTCACCACTACAGTCAGGCGTCATTACTACAGTCCCAGCCAGGTCCTCACCACTACAGTCAGGCGTCATTACTACAGTCCAGCTGGGTCCTCACAGTCCTCAGCCACTACAGTCAGGCGTCATTACTACAGTCCCAGCCAGGTCCTCACCACTACGGTCAGGCGTCACAGTCAGGCGTCACTAGGCGTCATTACTACAGTCAGGCGTCATCAGCCAGCCAGGTCCTCACTACTACAGTCAGGCGTCATTACTACAGCCCAGCCAGGTCCTCACCACTACAGTCAGGCGTCATTACTACAGCCCAGCCAGGTCTTCACCACTACAGTCAGGCGTCATTACTACAGCCCAGCCAGAGGTCCTCACCACTACAGTCAGGCGTCATTACTACAGCCCAGCGAGGTCCTCACCACTACAGTCAGGCGTCATTACTACATCCCAGCGAGGTCCTCACCACTACAGTCAGGCGTCATTACTACAGCAGCCAGCCAGATCCTCACCACTACAGTCAGGCGTCATTACTACAGCCCTGGACCACAGGTCAGGTGTCTAAATTTTACGAAGCCAGGTCCTCACTCTCTTTTGCGCCAAGATGGTCGTAAAGTTAATATTAATACAGTAGCCAGGCACTTACGACTATCTTAGCCTCTCCCCAAAGCTTACAGAAAACTACAGCCCAGCCAGGTCCTCACCACTACAGTGTCATGTCAGTCTAGGCCCCTACAGTCTCATTACTACCAGGTCAGAACACCCAGGGCGTCATTACTACAGAAACAGTGAACTACGCGTGTTAACGATTCAGATCGGTATTAGGGCCAAGGGTGGTGGGACCACTACAGTCAGTCGTTTTAGCGTACCTCCGATGCCAAGTCCAATATCTTGACTATCAGTTGTCCTTCTTCCATTTTCAGGCGTCATTACTAAGCCCAGCCAGGTGGCTGAGTGGGTCTAAACACTTTCTAAACAGCAGCGTGTATTAATGCGGTAAACGTTTTGTTAGGTTCATTTCTGGTGTCCCACTACATTCGTGATATTTATGGGACATCACTCTGTTGAGTGTCATCTAAATCACAGTCAGTAGAGGCCCCTTCACCACTACAGTCAGGGACACATTACAAGCAAATATAATTTAGTCTACGACTAAACTAAGGTTGGGAGTTATATTAACACACAATCCATGGAATCTTTCTATTTTTCAAGCCAAAGAATCACGTTTCTATATTTTTTTCCAGTTGTTGATTTCTCATTTCTTATTTCTACATCTCACTACACAGGCTCAAATTCCTCTACAGTCCAGCATGGCCCACCACCAAGACTGAGTTCGGTCGTCTCACCACTGAAATCGCTGTGTTGTACAGCGAGTCCAGGTCAAATAATGGTTCTACCTGTGAAGATCCGGCGTTACAATTGGTCTTCAGCAACCCATGCTTGTCGTAACCACAGAGGCGACTGGTATCCCTATCGCGTAGATCGATGTTCATGCAGTTGATCACTTGATTGTCTGGTCCAGACTCAATTATTTACAGACCGCTGGAATATTACTGAGTTCGGCGTTAAACAACAGATAAATAATGGTTCATTGCATGAAGTAACGCGAGGACCTTACCTGCCATATTGTCACTACTGGTGACAAGCTGCCAAGCTCCAATGCAACTACTCTCCGTGATAAACATTTTTAACGTCTGAATTCCTTTACTATCACTATATTTACTATGTCTTTACAGACTATAGCACTGTGAAAGATTCGGGCGCTGTTTAACGACCTGTCTGAACAGCTTTAAGTATCAAGCGAACATTAGCCCAGTCCATCTTAAAACGACCCGTGAAGGTCCGGGTTAGAATATTGATCTTCAGTAACCCATGCTTGTCGAAAGAGACGACAAACGGGATCGGGTGGCCAGGCTCACTGACTTGGTTGACACATGTCCCAATTGCGCAGATCGATGCTCATGCTGTTGATCACTGGATTGTCTGGTGCAGACTCGAATATTTACAGACCGCCGCCATATATATATTGCTGGAATATTGATGAGTGCGGCGTAAAACTAAACTAACTCACTCTTCAAACGACACTGAATGTAGTTTATATGCGCCTGATTTAATATTTATACTTCACAATGGACATTTTTCGAAGTCCCTTCAATAACTTCAAGGACGGCGAGGTAGCCTTGTGTTTAAAGCGTTCGCCGAGATCCGGGTTGAATTTCCCACATGGGCGCAATATGTGAAGCCTATTTCATGTGTGGTGTCCACCGCCGTGATATTGCTTGCCTATTGCTAAAAGACTTTATTCACTCACCCAATAGATTCAGTAACTTCAAATGCCTTGTCTCGTGAACTGTTATATTATTCCTTGATATATTTGTCTTGCTTTCGTGAAAGCATAAATTAAATAATTTTCTTTTAGCAGTTTAACTGTATTAATTATTTTTAAATGCTTTCCATTCAAATGTTTTCACTCAATTAAGAATACATTATTAATGTTTTCATGCGTAGAAACATGAATGTCGTTTCGTTACAGATGGAGAGTATAATAAATGTATTATATAAATGTAATGAATCTTCCTAGGTTCTTTATCTCCAAGTGTTTTTATCCGAAACATATTTCTGGTGTGTTGTTTTTACGAGAACATTTCTTGAAAGCTGTTTTAGACGATAACTCCAGTATCGTAGCCATGTAGCCATTCATCATTTCATCTACCACTACGCCATCCGCTGATGTCTCCATGCACCACGTCTCCTCTCCCGCACCCCGCCATCGTACTTCCGCCACTCGGCAGACTCGTGCCACATCTTAGAGCAATTAAACCGGAATGACGCTGAAAAAACCCCACAAAGTATCAAATCCTTTGACTTGAATACAGATCCGTTCTATTTCACAGAGCAACAGCCGTTATTTAATAACCACCGCCTAATGAAAATCAATTAATCAGCGGAAATATACTTCATATTCAACTGAGGAGGGGTTTTCCCTGTGAACGATGTTCTCTTTACAGTGATATGGGCAAAACATTAGGTACTGCCTGCTCTACATGGACCCTTGTTAATAACCGCTTGTCGAGCGTTTCCTTAAGTTCGCGCAGTGCTGAGCAGCATGTTAGTATCAGAAGTTAATGGATACGAGGGACGGTATACCAATTAGATATCTCTAAAGGGACGGTGAACTCTTTAACGCTAAATGGACAACGATAAAGATGTTACCACGTGTTATATTTCACTACCGGGCAAAAGAAAGTGTACTCACTCGTTTGATGGTGGGTGGAATTAAACAAATATTTAATTTAATTCAGGTGTTATAGTTGTGTTTATTGACTTTATGCTGTCAACATGGCTACGTTTTAGTAATGTTAGTAATTCTGTAGTTTGTTTACCTTTGCACAGAAGTGTATTTATACGAATAAACACACAACATGAGTGAGTGAGTGAGCAATTAAGTGAGTTTAACTCCGTTTTGAAGAGTATTTCAGTTACATCACGGTCTGTTATTATGTGGGAGGAAAGCCCGGAGTGATGAAGGTCTGAAGGCCCCACAGATCTGAAACCAACAATACTCAAGATGTAGCCAATAAACCTATGACCATAATCATGGTGATGCATTTTATTCAAATCGAGCTTTGCAGCTGGAAAGGCTGTATGAACCGAATCCATGAACTAGAATATCCTGTCTTGATAAAGGGAGGTAATTCTTCACAGCGACTTGCCGCGTCTCTGGTCACTGGTTTAACACTATTTAGCACACTTGTCGGACATTTGTCAAGCTCGTCAAAATATGACCTGCTACAGGGGCGGATACAGCTTTTTGAGAAAGGAGGGGTGCACACTATTGAAAAAAAGGGAGGGTGCACACTTCATTTTCACCCGAGTTTCAATGGTCATTTAATAAACTTTCAGTACAAAAGGGGGGTGCGCACCCCTGCAAAAAAAAACAAAACACCACCACCGCCACCACCACCACCCACCCCCTCTCTGGATCCGCCTATGTGCTAAGACGAATATTTTGTGAGATTGTGTGCATGGGAATTACCGACCTAAACAGATTGTTAGTCGTTCTTCCGCCTGTAAAAGCTGGCAGGATAGGAGGGAGACAGTGGGGGAGTCGGCAGACAGCGAGAAGCGCGCGGACAGACCAGAAGAAAGGCAAGCCAGGGACATGGAGGGACGAACTGACCAGTCAGTCCAGCTATCTACTGCCCCAGTGTCAGCATCACTTCGCCGTCTTCCCCTGGTATAATCGCTGTTTGTAAGAAAACTGCCTTACAAGTAGTACTATAAGAAATAAAAGAACCAGCTGCAGTTTTTGTACAACACGACGCCTCGTCTTGTTTCAAGAGCTCCGAAGGTGTTACGCTGGGTCGCGAGTGAGTAAGTTTAATTATTTACATCGCTATTAGCAATAATCCAACACCATCACTGCTAGACTAATGCTTAGTCTCTGAATATATATAATTTTGATAGTAACAAACAAGCCCATTTAAATTGAATATTATTTGAAAAGGAGCCCCAGGGAGACCAGACATTCAGAACCTGAGGAAATCTAGACTTGCTTTATTAAGGGCTTTAGCACTGCAGAGAGGGCTTGGCAGTAGGGAAAATAATGTGGTTCAGGGACTGTGAGACAGACTACATCACTGCAGGAAACACCAGATATGGGCCAAACATTGAACCCATGTGGGAATCGAACCTTGAGCTTCAGCGTGATGAGCAAACACTTCAACCACTACGTGTCAGTTTTCGCCTACTGAAATAATCGAACGATAAATGACACGATATCTAAAATAGGTCTCCTTTATAAAAATACGTGTGAGTAATTCCAAGATGGAGCCATTTTAATCTCGTCGGAAGTACTGATTAACGACTCGAAATCGGAACACAGGCGTAATGTATCCACCACTTGGCCCTGTTGCCCCATACCACTCGACCAGGTACAAAACAGTACAGGTTTAGGTTCATTAGGAGGAAGTAATCACGTAATACACGTAAATTATTATTATATTAGATTAAAGTATTACACTGCACTATAACGCTTCAGTGTGTACTCTGTGGCTGCACGAGATAACGTCATTGAAGATAATGACTTGAAATGAGGTGCTGAAATAGAGTAACATGTATTTTATGCAGCATGGAGCGTGAACACATATCGGTATAGAGGTTAAAATAATGTGTATCTTACATTCTCAGATAATTTATGCCTTTTTTGAAATTAGTATATGTTTCAGTGCTAATGAACAGTGAGAGAGCATAACGACTCTTAGACTTGCACAAGTCTATAAGGTAATATTAAATAATTTAAATGATAATTTCTATAAAATATAAATATTCCTCTAACACACTTGTGCTGTCCGCTTATTTAGACTTGCCTCTTTAAATGGGCATTACACCAGTGGGCTTAGCATTCAGTACAGCCTTGGAGCAAGGCTAAAAACTCTCTGAAGAGTATTATGAAACAAACGGGTAAAAAACACAACAACTTAACTACACGTATGCTTTACTTAGCGGTGATTTTGTGTGTGTGTGGGGTGGGGTTTGGTGTGTGTGTGTATTTCAGGTAACAGAAATAGTTTGACATGTGTTATCACGTGCAGGAACTGGTATCATTACGACCACCATTAACCACTGGAAATGTTTCGCCGTTGGGAATCGAACTTAAGGTTCAAATTTCCACCGTCGGTGTAAACTGCGCAAAATAACCGCCACCAATTTTGGTGAAATATTTTTTGACACAAAACGATATGTTTGACTCAAAACCCATATATTGTGTGCCTGACTAATTTTAATGCTATTGTTTTAACAGCTCCAGACAGAAAAGTGTCCATTCAAGCTCTTTCACTCCACTCACTCCTTCACTCACTCACTCACTCACTCAGTCGATCACCCACTCACCCACCCACTCACTCAGCTACTTCCCATGGAATCCAACTGGTCTGTCCGACCCCCACTGCTGTCATGAGTGCGTGTACCAACAACGCTGACAATAATTACACTGACAACTTCCGTTGATCATCATTGTGTTCCAGCCAGGGTCTACCACTTCATGAAGTGCCACGTCAGCAACTTTACCGGGATTTTTAACAGTTATAGTTTGACTATGTTAGGCGTATCAAAGTAAGGCGATATGCTTTTTATAGTTTGACGATATTAGGCGTATCGCAGCTTTTCTGATATGCATGTCATAGTTTGGTGATATTCGGCGTTTCCTAGTTTGGGATATCATGCAATTTATAGCTCTTTTTATAGCAGTAATAACCCCGTTTTACAGTTTTATTATGTTGTTTACGGATCCAACGCCCTGTAAACCGGGAATGTGGGGAAAAAATCAACTTAAGTGCTTTTCTCCTCCTGACTGAGTAAGATTGGCTACTCCCAACAGCGAGTGCCTCTGTGCTCGCGCAAACGTTTTAAACGTTTTTCTTTTAATCTGACGACCTTCACAAGGCTTTTTTCTGCGAGAAATCAACAACAAACAAACCTAAGAAGGCCCCATCGGGGATAACACATTACATCCTCAATTAACGTGTAACAATGTAATGACTCCACACTGAGGGCTGATAGGCCATGTTTCACAGTTCAGTGCAAGAATGTCACATTCAGTAAGGTGCTGCTCTTCCATAGCTCGTTGTCCAGTTCAGTGAGTGAGTGAGGTTAGTTTTACGCCTCTTTTAGTAATATTCCAGTAATATCGCTGTGGGGGACACCAGAGAAGGGCGTCATACATTGAACCCATGTGAACAGAACCCGGGTTTTCGGTGTGACGAATGAACGATTTAACCACTAGGCTACCCCATCGCCCCTTGTCCAGTTCAATTATATTTCCTTGCACTATATACTCTTCATCTTATATCAACATTGACTTCAATAAATCTCCCAATTTTTTTCAATAGTAAATTAAAAATGAAGTTCCCTTACTTTTTTTAAGAGTATAAGTAGTCTGAACGTAAAATGAAACTGAATTTTATTTGCTTTACGACCATTCGAATCTGTTTCGTGGGATGATCAATGGTTGGTAATTTTTCATGTGTTGATTTCATTTGTTGAAAATAACGATGAAAACTGAAAAGGACGTTACACACTTTTCTAAAAAGAGAGGTTCAATTATCTCTCACAGACATCGACTGCAAATATCTCAGGCATTAATGTTGGGTTCGAAGATATACCATCTACATGTTTATCAGACCGGTGAAGGTCCGGGTTAGAATTGATCTTTATAGACCCATGCTTGTCGTAAAGGCGACTAACGGGGATCGGGTGGTCAGGCTCGCTGACATGGTTGACACGTGTCATCGTATCGCAATTGCGCAGATGTTGCCCATGATGTTGATCACAGGATTGTCTGATCCAGACTCGATTATTTACAGACCGCCGCCATGTGGTTGGAATATTGCTGGCATTAAACCACAACCAGCCAACCAGCAGATTTACCATCGGATTGGACATTCTCTACTTATTGTGAGTAGCATAAATTCATGCTTTCCCAAAGCATGCTCCTGGCATGTCTAATCGACAAACAGTGGCTTGTTGTCTGTCTGCCTGGTGCAGATAACATAGTTTATTTAAACAAAAAATATAATCGCTGAGAGATGAATTGTTAAAGCGATTGAAAAGCCACTTATGGGCATTGAAACGATATTTAAAACGCCTGTCTCCTGTTTCAAAGCAAATAATATTTTGTAATTATATGACTGATGGCTTTTACGAGTGAAGTTTTCGTTACACCCTATATGATATGGGAAAAATAGCCAACGCCAAAGCTTCTATCCTCCGACATACAAACAAATATTACTTTATGACTTACATATAAGTCAGGCCCTAACAATATTATTGTATGAATTTGGCTTTATCATTGTAAAAATTGCAATTATTAAATGTCAAAGAAATATTTTTGTAAAGCGAAATCAATTAGAGTGCTTCAACTTACCATACCATTTTATGACGCCCTTGACATTTCTTGTTAAATCGTAAAGAAGGTAGGTGTGTTTGTCGCCAGATCAAACGTAAAGTAACAAACATTTAAAATGTATGAGTGGGTAAAAAATGTGCTGAACAGGTCGAATCGAAAATAACTGCATTATTAGAAACGCTTTGATGTAGGACCATTCCCGTAAACATGGAGGACTGCACTAAACCATGTTCTGATTATAAGACAAGTTTTGTATGTTCCCAAGGCAGCTAAAGCGACACATCCCACTTAACACAGTAGTAATGCTCTATTACAGTGAAATTGTCTGCAATTACTTTACATAATGAGATCCGGGTTAGAATCGGTCTTCATAGACCCACGCTTGTCCTAAAAGGTGACTAACGGGATCGGGTGGTCAGGCTGGCTAACTCGGTTGACACATGTCATCGTATCCCAGTTGCATAGATCGATGCTCATGCTGTTGATCACTGGATTGTCTGGTCCAAACTCGATTATTTACAGACCGTCTCCATATCGGAATATTGCTGAGTGTGGCGTTAAACAGCAAAGCAACCAAACAAGTTTACAAAATATAAATTTTGGGGGTATAGCACACTCACTTAAACATTCAAATTCTTTTC